CTTGGGCCTTTTCTTGTTATACATAACCGTGGCTTCTTTGAAAATACCTGATTTCTCATACACGACCTAATTATTTTATCATTTGTCATTTTCTTTACATTTACTAAAGGTAAAATTACACATAATATCCTTTGATATCACGTTGATATCTTCAATATTGTTGTATTACCATAAAAAGAAATTTTCTTATAATAGTGCTGAGATGGTTTGGTTCTGTGGTAGGATATTCTACCGGGGCAAGGCAACATTTAATGCCTATTTCTGAACATATCCCATCCACAGTAGCAACATCATGCTAAAATATAAAAAGAAAACGTGTTATATTTTACTCATAGGAATTAACGATGTAAAGAAATTTAATCTATTACACGAAAGGCGGTTAATTACCTTCTAGTCTATAAGGTAAACCTGATGGCTTTCGCCATTTCCAATCGCTAGGTAATTAGTGCATCGACTGCCGACTTCGTTATAGGGCAATCAAGTGGAGACACGTCATCAAAATTACTGACTCTATGAAACTTCTTAATGATTTTTCTCTGTCGTCATCGCAAAAACAGATAATGACTTTGTAACGCCGGTTGCTCCATAGACAGGCCTCATTTGCAATTGGCTTAAGGATCCAAATGATTTAAAACATGTATCCTCCGTAGTTGTAGAATAAAACACATGCTGCTGGTATCCATGGTTACTCCGATTCAATCGAAATAAGTTTTCAGATATACTTCAAAGGCTATTACTTTTCGACAGTTCAATTTTTTCTCAATTGTACCAAAATTTAAATGAAAGGATATATATATCAATTAGAAATCATGAATCATGAAAAGGAGAATTATTTTTTACTAATAATCTTTTTAAGGGGTCTAAATTTTTTCCATCCTCGAAACAGGCGAAAATTAAAATCTAAAAAAAAAAAAAAAAAACAACAAATAACTTAAAAAAAAAAATCCAAAAATTTGAAATGAAAAAAAAAACCAAGTTTAAAAGCAGATGATGCTGTATTTTGTCGTGTGAAAATAACTTAACTCGGATTCAATCAAACAAAGATTTACGCGGAGACTCCCGAAAAAGTTACAAGAATAGTGATTTCACGATCCCTAATGAGAATAAGGTATACAACAACAGAAACAACAGGAAAACTACAGACCATCAAACACGTCCAGTACAAAAGAATTCAATGCGATTGATTACATTTGAAATATCTTCAATGAGACTTAACTTATTACGATAACGGTTCACACTTTCTCGGAGTTCTCTTGTTTAGGATGTAATATACTCGCGAAAATAGATGCGTTCTTTTCTTTTTTTTTTTTAAATTAAGAAAAATGGGAAAAATTAAAGATTCTCTTAAAATAATTTTGTTAAGTACATTATATAACTGACTTGTATTCATTAATATTCTCCATTAACCTAACTGGTTGTTCTGCTGTTATCAAAATTTTCTATTGATGTTTCACGATTGTCTCTATGACATTACACAATTCTTGATACAGTATTATATAGAACAAACTTTCCTTTGATCTAGACGGAATGAGGAAGAATACTCGGTTATGGAACATTGATCTGAATTTAACTATACTGAGAGGAAAAAGACACGCAATAAGGAATTTCCAGCTGCAGTAACTGCACGAACTCTATTGTGCATTGATTTGATCAGGGTATTAACCCTCCTTATTGGTATACGATTCCATTCCCCATCCAGCGCCAACGCCAACTGAGCGACGTTGATTGGAGGATTCGGCCTTCGTCTTATCCTTCTGTCCAACTCGTCCCATAAATGTTCTATTGGGGAGAGGTCAGGGCTGTATGGGGGCCAGTCTAGGGTGGAGACATTGTTTACTGCGAGATAACCACGGCAAACCCTCACTACATGCGGCCGGACGTTGTCCTGTTGAAATGTCAGTTGACGCGGCTGTACTAGAGCGGCGCTAGGACTTTATCTTTATAGCTGACGGCCGTGATATTAACGACCAGAGGGGTCTTGATACCATGCGCAATCCCTCTCCATACCATGACCGATCCTCCTCCAAAGCGGTCATTCTTTATCACGCAAGCATCTGCATAGCGCTCTTGGATACGTCTATAGACACGACGTCGGCCGTCTATCCGGTAAAGCAAAAACCTGGACTCATCTGAGAACAAGACCCTTCTTCAACGTTGTATTTGGAAGCGTCTTACGGAATGTGCGTTCAGCCATTGCATACGTCTGGCACGTCGCCGCGCATTAAGCTGTGGTCTAACAAATGGCTGCTGCGGTCTTAGACCAAAGGCACGCAGTCGAGTTCGCACTGTCTTTGGATCAATTGGAACATGATGATGCCCATTTGTGTTCCTTGCTGTTTCCGTGGCCGTCAGAAAGCGATTGTGTAGGTGCAAAAGTCGCATTGCCCTATCCTGCCGACGCGTCATCACACGAGGGCGACCGCTTCGGGGACGGTCTGCAACCCTTCCGGTGGCATGTAGTCTTTGGACGAGACGGCAAATGTTCGATGGATGGACTCCAAATTGATTAGCGACCTGATTTTGCGGGGTACATTGCATAAGAAGTGCAATGGCACGACCCCTGTCAACTTCGGACAGTCGTGGCATTTTTTTACGGTGAACTGTTCATGCTTAAAATGTGGGATATAAAGACGGATATGTCTGAAGATTCGCACACACAGATTTTGAACCAATCCTTTACACTGGGTTCGAGATATCGTGCTTTTGTCTCTTTTTCTTTTGTACAAGCGGCGTGCGCAGTTTAGATATGCATCAGTGATTTTAAAACGGTACCATAGGGACCTAACTCAAATGCACATATTTGTCAAGTTTCAAGGGTGTACTTCAAGGATTTCATTTACAATATTAACTTTCTGTAAATTGCTAATTTTCCTCTCAATATATATAAAGAGTTGTTGGCTGGTGGTATTATGAACTACGCACACCGTGGTATAATATACTTCAAGAGAGAGATGATAGCCCTTTCGCTGTTTGTTTAAGAGAGAGGGGGAGAGCGTAAGAGAGAGAGAGAGAGAGAGAGAGAGAGAGAGAGAGAGAGAGAGAGAGAGAGAGAGAGAGAGAGAGAGAGAGAGAGAACTATTTTCCTCTTTCAGACAGAGATGATAGCCGTTTCCCGGTTAAATATTAAGGCTTATAATACCTATTTTTACTTTTAATCATTTTCTCTGCATGAATTGTCTCCCTTATATCAGTGTTTATACCTGTAAGATGCATAACTCATTTACCATCTTGAATGCAGTTGGATGACCTTCAAAACATGGGTGTTGTCATTTCTATTTCTCTGCAATCATCGCCTTTAACAACAGCAACCTCACCATCGTAGAAATCCGAAATTGCAGTGCACCTTTGAAATTGATCATAATATTCCGTTGGATTCAGTTAAGAGAAGCGATTGCCAGCGGTGATGCAGGTACCTTTACTACAAAGGAATGCCAATGGAAGATACATGCTTTCCTCCTTTTATCAAAGATATCATAGGTACGCATGCTAGTTCGTTTATAGTCATGAGGTGATGGGTACAGAGCATTCAATCTTGGCAAAGTCAATTGTGCGGGGAAGATAAAAATGATGAGAGCGGGATTCTTAATGTCGGAGATTATGTTGGCAGTTAAACTTCGGTGAATGTCTATGTGTTGGTAGTGTTCTAATTCTGTGTGTGTTGATATATCATCGACTCTGCTGTGAATCTAATTAAGCTTTTTGTAAGTGTTTATTGATCGAGTATACGATTGTACATTAGACACAGAAGTGAACTGCAGTTTTCAATGCAACTGTAGAATTGGATTCCTTAGAGTCAAATAATACGAGACAGAATTTATCGAAGAGCTTATCAAAACAGTTCACATTAACCTTGGAAAGCCGTTTGATTTCATTTTATATTGATGACATCTTTGGTGTTTTCATGTCGCAGTTGATTTGATGTCCAAGGGTCTGTTCCCATTATCATGGTTTTCGTGAAGATGTAGGTTGATGAAAATTATGGGGAAGTTCCATGGTCGTCATGGTGATCTCATTGAGGTATATTCTATATCTTTGTGCGACATGAAGCTTGACGTGTTTGATGCTCGTAAGCTTGTCTGTTTGTTCCGTTATTGTATAAATTGTTCTCATTTGAAAGCGTGACATTACTTACTTCTCCGGGAGAAAGACGCGTATTCTTCCAGAAGATTCCCCGTGTAAATCTTTTTTTTTCAGTTTTATTGAATTTGAGTTTAGATTATGATTGAGCTGACATGTTGTTATTTTCTAGTTGTTTATTTTAACTGCTCTGTACAGATATTTCATCCTTTAGGACTCGTCAGTGATGCTAATGATTTGTGAAAGCTAGGAGGCTACTGAGGCAAAGTAGAAAGGATAAGAGGAAACGTCTGAGTCTATTGTTTAACAAGAATGATGAGAACGACTAATTTTATCTAGTGGCAATTATATCTGTAGTAACTTCGATATGGTATCAATGTAAATTGACAACTGGACTCGCCGTATGAAGCAAATCCATTGAAAGCTGACGCATACCGGGAAAATTTCCCTCCTAAAACTTTATACCTCGCACACACACACCCACACACCCTCACACACACCCGCATATACACACACATCACCACACACACACACACACACACACACACACACACACACACACACACACACCACACACACACACACACACACACTCACACATACACACACACCACCACACACACACACACACACACACACACACACGCACACTATCACATATACACACACACACACCACCACCACCACACACACATACACAAACTTTTTTCACTCTTGTAAAATCCGCCCTATAAAACAACATTTTTGGTATTTCATGTTATACTATGAAACATTAGCTATATTCTTGAATTCTCCATCTTTGTACAAGGCGAACATTACGAAAACTCCTAGTTTACATTAATACAGGGACTTCCATATATAGATTGAACCAAAGGTTGTTCGAGGCTATCGTTCTAGGAGCTATGAGTCTTAACAGCCAATTTTCAAAGACAGTCTCGCTGGTAATGGCCAAATCCACGTGAGAGCGTGTCGTGATACCATTTATCTGGTTTGTCGAACTTTGTGACACTCTGGAGGAAACACTCGTTGCTCTGCCAACCATATTCAAATGTAACGCATGCATAAAGCGTGACCGATATGCACGACTGAATACAGCTTTCATAAGATACATTTAGAAAAGATTCCTCGTTATTTTGAATGAGGAAGTAATCAAGAACTTCGGTAAAATCCGTTCCATATGTAGTGCAATCTGTAAAATAAAGTAAAAAAACATAAGTATGGTGTAAAGGGTATTGAATCAAATAATGTAATGATATATGGGCAAGAATTCGCTAATAAAATTTTAGTGTCAAAGAAGTTTATCCAGTAAAAAACGAACAAAATCATGTAAGTATGGAGAACAAACATTGTTTAAATGTTAAAGTTGGTTTATTTTTATCGTCATATGAAAAAAAACAGATTGATCTAATTGATTAAATAACAAGGAAGCAGCACAAGTTGTACGCCGCCAGTGGATAAATTATTGGCAAAATGTGTGACATTTCTGCAGTAGTGAAACTCCGAGTCGTATTTATTAAATGCCCGAAGAATTGTGGTGCTGTAAAAGTTGTTAATAAACTGCAAAATGATAAGATTAATGCTGCAAAAAAAAAATAGGATTGAAAGTAGACCAATGTAAGTAACTTTTCGCGTCAACAAACGTTACGTGCACGTTTCCCTCAGTAAATTTGTTTGGAAACGCATCATCGACACGGCATTTGCAAATTTACAAAGTGTCAACACAAGGTACGATATGATTGTCGTAATTTTTATCAATCAACTGTAGTTCGGAAAATATATCAGGTAATAAAATATAATTATTTTTCGTGTCCAAACTACCCTAAAATATCCCCTCTCTTCAGAACAGTTGTATTTCTGTAACAGATCACGTAACGATAATGTTTTTTGCGATATTTCGACCCGATACCAGTAACGTTAACACGTGACTATGCAGTTTTCCAAAATAGCGTCTATCGGTGTAGAGGAATCTGGTAATTTTGATCACGTAACGAAGTCTTACGCACACATTCGGAGTAAAATATGATCTTTGATAATGTTGGTTTTTTTTCTTTGTATTTTTCAACAAAAAAAAAAACAGTAGACCTGGTATTTGAAACAGGTTTGACCTCACGATAGCGATTTTTTGGTGGGAAACGATTTTTCGTACGTATCCTTGACCCGAAAATAAATAGTTGCACGTTTTTGGTGTCAATGTTACATGCGACTACTTAAACGATATTATATTTGAGATATGTGAGAGTATAATTATAATTTACATACAGATCGTGTATTGGGGGGCTTTTTATATATTTTAATAGCATTTCTGGCATACTTTATGATTAATATTTTTTTGTGTCCATGTTACATGCAACATATGTGTAACTACTTTATTACTGAAATGAGAAGGTTGCAAAAATATTGATAGAATTTTCTTTATACGACAGTAAAACAATGAAAAAAAAACTTTTTTTGTTTACCAAGAACATAATTCTGATTATATTTATCTCTTAATAATTGCATGTAACATTGACATAACAATAAGAGGAACCTGTTTTCATAGAATTTCTGATAAATACATGATAAATTTGAAAAATGCAATTTTTTAAGTCGAGATGATGGACAATGTTTTGAGATAAACAAACCTAATACTAAACTTTAAACAGGTCAAAGAACCATCAGTCTCAGTTTGGGAATAGTGTCAATGTTACATGCTCTAAATTCATTAATTCTCTTTGTTCTTAACTGAAGTAAGTTTCAAAATGATTTTTTTTGTTACACATAGAAAGACACCATTTACAGCTATACTTCAAACAAAGTTTGTAGGCTTATGAATATTTTTATTTTCTTCTTTCAATGTCACACTTAGGGTTACATTAGCTAATTCTTGCCCATATATTAGAACTAGTATCCCATGATTGATATTTTAACTTGTTCCTTATAATGGACCAGCGAATTTTCAAAGTTAGAAAATACGAACAAAAAAAAATGGGAAAAATTGTTTAATACTGCAAAGCTTTGATTTGTTTTTGCTTTTGTTTTGTTTTTTGTTGTTTTTTTTTTGGGGGGGGGGGGGGGAGTTGTTTGTGATGACTCATATTCTCACATTTTTGTTCTATCAGCGAAAACAGCAAAAATTAGATCCCTCAAACACAACACATTTTCAGTTTTACTAACTGTTAGGATATTTAATGGAACAGTTACACAGGCTGTATGCTTTACCAATGTTTCTGTTGATGATCGTGCATTGATAGCTTCAAAATGAATGCTTATCCAAGTGAGGTAAATATACTGGGTAACATTATTTTTCCAGTGTAAAACAAGTCAATTTTACTTGATCTTTAGAGAAAAATTCAGATATATATCGTTAACTTACGACTGTTGGAATGTACAACGCTTAAGAACATGAATTTCCCATTTTCAATTAAGTATGCTTTCTTCCTTGAAAAAAACATACGTATGATTTATGGTTCTAAAGATAAAGATCTTCGCAACAAACCTTTACAATGTTTTACCGATGAAGCTACACTTCCATAACATTTTCCATAATTTTTACTATCTTTCTCTCAATAGTCTAGGAATTATAATCAATTATGTGTAACATTTGCTGCTTCTTATGCAGATCATGGAAGACACATATTGGATGGTATTCAGCCGATACTTTATCAGATCTCGATGTTAATAACAAATTCTAACTTCAGCCGATACTTTATCAGATCTCGATGTTAATAACAAATTCTAACTTCAGCCGATACTTTATCAGATCTCGATGTTAATAACAAATTCTAACTTCAGCCGATACTTTATCAGATCTCGATGTTAATAACAAATTCTAACTATTTCAGCCGATAATAACAAATTTATCAGATCTTTATCGATGTTTAATAACAAATTCTTATTTCAGCCGATACTTTATCAGATCTCGATGTTAATAACACATTCTAACTTCAGCCGATACTTTATCAGATCTCGGTGTTAATAACACATTCTAACTTCAGCCGATACTTTATCAGATCTCGATGTTAATAACAGATTCAAACTTCAGCCAATACTATATAGTATATCAGGGTCAATTTAACAGTGGTCGGAAATGAGTTTTAGGCAAGGGTGAAAAAAAGGTTACAGATAAACAATGTTTTTCTATTTATTTCAGGGCCAGTTTAACTTTTGGCGAGGGCGAAAATAATCCATGTATACTCTGTATAATGTTGTTTGAGGGAGATACACCTTGCCTTCCAATTAGAATGACACTCCAGTTACACCAACAATCATTAAATATATGTTTACACAACCATCGTCAACTGGCTGGCGTTTCCGATTGCCCTGTAGCATGCCTTCCGCCACATCCATCCGTCATTCTACACTTGAGTTATCGTTGTCTTCCATGAAATCCTATTTTATGAATAATCAATTTTAACACCGGACCTTAAAATCAAATCTTGCGAATGAGTGACAACCATTGATTTTGACAGAAGATCTGTTATCCATTTTTCGCAATGTGTTCGACGTAATCCCACCCCGTCTCGTTCACGTTGCCAAAACACGATGACAGACAGGTATCAACTTAATATTCATGGATACACAACCTAATAATACCTAATTAATAGTAATCTTCAACGGGGCTTTAAATATATCAGTTCAGTAGATGATATATAGCAGGCTATGAAATGACTTGGAAACGAGAACGACTAAGCCGAAGTTATTTTAAGTTAAAGAGATAAGTAGCAGTACGTTGCACCATCACGCTTGAATCATTATTATTAATATTATTATTACTTATGCCAACAGAAATTCTGACATTGGAAAAGTATCAACTTTTCTTCGATTTAGGGCGTGAACATACCATAAACCTAGGTTAGCTTAATGATAAATGTGAAAAAGACCAGCACGATTGTTTCTCAATTTCATGGAACTTTTCATATTATTTCATATAATAAAGACAGGTATTGCGCTAATTTCCTAATTTCTTGACGTATTTTAAATTTTATTTCCAAAAATATAATGAATGGTACATGACCTCAGCATCGATCTACCATACCTAAAAAGTTTGTCGATTTCTTTTTAAAACGACCGAATTACATTTGAACATATAAAAATTTCGCGACCTGCAGAAAAAAATATATCTCTTATCACACGTATATCTGCTTTTTATGGAATACATTTTCGTGATCATGTTGATGTACCACGAGAAATAGCCTATCCTCAATGCGAAAATATTCGACTGTACGGTAAATTTTGCTTTTGTTCAGAAACAATTCTCTTTATACCGTAGTAATTGTCAATCTTTGTTATTATTACGTAGTATAATCTCATCTCTGCCTTTTCATATGGAAGTAAATTTCAATTTGATTATGTAACATTCAGATATACTTACTCACGACACATGACCTTGACCGTGGCCAGAAACTGTATCCGGCTGCGCACCAACATGCCCCATTGCGACATTCTGAATTTGAGACGTAACACTCCGAGTTTGTAGTACAGACATCGCCTATATAACCTTGACCTTGAATCATGGAGAAAATAAAACAATAAAACTATGAGTGCAAAATATAAAGAACATTTGGATAAAACGAGGGATAAGCAAAAGAATGACTTTCACCAGTAAAATAATGTTAAGAGAAATGGATCGGGTGTGTAGAACAGCAATCGCCCTCTTTCTCATTGAAAGTATGGTGAAATGAAAAAAAATATCTTAATTCCTGAATGCTCTTTTAGGAAGAAAACTTCGTTTGTATTGAAATAATCACTATAATAGAACGGTAAGTATTCTATATGTTTAAAGAATGCTATAGTATATTGAAATTTAGAATGAATACCCTTCCTTGTGAAAATAAATGTGATAGCAAGTAAGGGTCCAACTATAGAGAAAATATATTGAAGTACAATTAATTGGTGTGAATTACAGGATTATGCAGTAATAGGAACAGATCATGATATCTAAAATTCTTATTTTGTCATTTCTTTCATCCAACATCAACATGCAAACAAGTAAATAAATAGGAATCATTTCTGTTTCACATAGGTATATTGTAAATGTTTTACGACGGATACAAGTTTTGTGTTTACACCAAAAGCTTGAATCAAAAACCTAAAAAGCATATGAATACATACGTATAAACATGTATATATATTTAATCTTAAGTAAGTTTTCATTTCTTATAAAATTTGATTGAACGATTCCTAGAACGTTATAAATTTGCGAGCTATACCGAACAAAAAATAAATCTTCAGGATGCACTTTTACAAGGTTAAACTTAAAAACGGAGATGACAAATGAAAACGGAGGAAGGAATTTTGTTTTGCCATTTTCAATCTATGACGTAACATCGTTGTCTATATTATGACATCACAATTAATTTCTGACTGGCGCAGCCAATGAAAAACGCCAAAAGGCATGTTACACAAGTGATTTAGTTTCAGGTTGACAACATCGTCGTCGATTTCGGCGGTAAGATTACAACAGACTATTGGTATACCATAGAAACTAACACTCTGCCCCGCTGTTCACTGACTTATTGTGTTTTCATACGAGGCTGAATGTATCTTATCAAAACAGGCTACAGAGACCTTGCCAAGTCCTCCAATTTCACTTTCAGATACATTGATGACATCTTGTCGTGCTGAAAAGAGATTTATTGACCACATCTGTCGTATATACCCAACAGAAATGGAAATCAAGGACACTAAAGACTCTTCTACATCCATCGTTTATCTGAATATTTGCCTACAACGAAACTAACATGGACAGCATTCCACAAAGCTGTACGACAAACTCGATGATTTCAATTTCCCTATTGTGAATTTTCTATTTCTTGATAGCAACCGCTATTCATCCATAACCTATGGTGTATACATGTTGCAGTAAATTCAATATTCATGGGCGGGTTCCCAATATCACGAGTTTCGTGCAAGATGTCCTTAATTGATAGACAACCTCGTATCACAGGGTTTCCAGACATGCCTGTTCATAAGATTTAAAGGGTGGTTATACGGTCGGCGTGGTGATCTCATTGAGAATGACTCTATATTCGTTTTGTGGTATGAAGCTTGAGCTGAAAGCTAATTTGGGAACGCGACATTACTTACTTGGATTGACCAATATTTACATGGCGGGTGTAGTAATAAAATGTTCCTGGTTTAGGTCACGGACTAATTTTTTGGGTATCAATTTAATTGAACAGACTTGATATTAACCAATGAAAGTGTATTCTATATCAAACGATCAATATATTAATGACGTTAATGTCTTATTGTTTTAAATGTTTGTCCAAAAACATCAAAATAATACACAATACTGGTAAACAGTAACATATGATACAGCTGTGGAATATTTTCACGACTGTAATGATTTTTTTACCTTCTTTACCTTGGCAAAACAAAAATGTGATGTCAGTAATCATGATGTCTGTTGCCACACTGCCATCTATAATGTCGCGATGAAGACTATTATTGGTCATTAAGTTGGATGCTGTCGGGCTAGGAAAATATAGAAGAAGAGTCAGGTTCATAGGGGGCGAAGCGAAACTGATAAAGTACACGGAGAAACCCTCGTGGTCAAGCAGGTGACCTCTTACCTTTTCACGTCGGTTTCGAGAATTGAACCCCGGACGGCTAGGTAAAAGACAAGTACGTTACAACTGTACTACCAAACTAAAACGTTTATATATAAACATAAATTTGGTCAAAAGTACCTTCATCTTAAGGTTCCCTTCCTCCCTTTTGGCCCTATTCGATCAAATTCTCATTCGTTCAAGACTAGAAGGGATTTAATGGGAACAAGTTGACAGACGGACAACGGACGATGGATGTAGTGGTATGGTATAAGCTCGTCGGTCTTTCGGACCTGGTGAGCTAACAAAAAAGAAAATGCGTACATGTCATCAGAGTTTTAATTCAAACTCAAAACCGAGGGGAAACACCAAACGAAATATTTACACTGAAACCATCGAAAGGTTCCGGAAGGAATAGTTTTTCATTTTTTCAAGTAAGCAATGTCAGACTCCCAAATGAGAAAAAGCTAAACAGCGAACTAATCTACCAGCAAAACCGAGCATCAAACGGATCCAACATCACATTGGAAAAATAGGATGTGTCTTAGTGAGATAATTATGATGACAGTAAACCTCCTTCATAATCTTCATCAACCCGCTGTTTTTGTGCATTTGTCTGTTGTGTCGACATCTTGCAGAAAAATCGTGATATCAATATATGTAGCTGAATTTTTTTAAAAACAGGCGCACAATGATCATTTTCATTTAAATGTAGTTTTATTCTAAACGTACACGCGGAGGAGAAATGGAGACGATGAACAACAGTCAAACCTGCCAAGGCCATCTTATACAAAGGTTACCTGTCTATAAAGGTCACTTTTTCTTGACCCTTTTGTGATCTTTATAGACAGGTTTGGCAGTTTAAGCATACCAGCTAGATAGATATATCAAATACTAAAAAACCCACAGAGAAATATTTTCACGAGAGTCGATTTAACAATATTGTTTATTGCTTTCTATTTACTGTGTTTTTCAGCAAGCATCCTGGATTTTGATAATTTGTTAACTTGCTTCTTTTTTATCCGTGTATATTTCCTTTATAAAATATTTTACTGATTTGGTCATTCAAATTATAAGTATTCGATTTATGACAAATACCTTAAACATGAAGGATGAATATAGACTGACTTAGAAATATTTTGTTTAACGTCTTTGTTTGGTAACTGGAATGCCTGTAATTCTTTACTGTAATATTATATGAATGTATTTTTTGTGTCGCCTGCAGAGCTGGCGGACACTTAGGGATCCGTCGGCACGCGTCGGCGGCGTCCGTATGAAAGTTTTCTGGACTTTTATCGGTTATGCTTTGAGTTATCAAAATGAAATTTGGTATATGGCTTCTTGTTGGAAGGGTACAGATTATTTTGATTCTTGACTGTCTGTGACTCTTCTTTGTAGAGTTATGTCTCTTCGAAAATTCTTCGGGAATATTGTTTTCTGGATTTTTTGTGGTTATGCTTCGAGTTATGAAAATGCAATTTTGTATATGAGTTTTTGGTCAAAAGTTACGCACCGAGTTCGCTTCTTGGCAGTTGATATGTGCTTTTGAACTTGGAAAATTTCTCAGGAATATTGTTTTGCGCAGTTTTCGCTTTATGCTTCGAGTTATAGAAATAAAATTTGGCATTAAAACTTTATGGTTGAACGTTGCACATCCAGTTCGATTTCTGGTTGACCATGACACTTTATGCAGGCGACACAAACAGTTTCGAGAAACTCTTATTTAGATATACAGTGTGTGTTCTATAAATAGAACTAAAAAATGGAACAACAAAAGTACAAATATTAGTTTTGCTTATCTAGTACTTACTTATGAAATAAATTCCCTTGCAGAAATGATGTTTTAGTTAATTTGAAACTGGCACTTTGTTTTTTCTTATTTTTTTTATTTCAGTATCTCATCTAAATTTACATAGTTAGAAAAAACATATACTCTGCACAATTCTGATTTAACCTACCAATTCAAACAAAAAATCTTGCCTTATCAGAATATTACTTTGTCTAAAGACCTGATGTACAGACAAATCCTAATAATTTTTCCGGACTTAAAAATGTACAAAAGAAATACAAGTGAATACCATTATTTAATAATTTCGTTTGATATAGTAGAGCCGAACAATGACTAAAACTGCATCATACAGCTGCTTCGTCCTTCGTCCTTCTAGGACTCGTCAGTGATGCTACTGCTTCGTCCTTCTAGGACTCGTCAGTGATGCTACATCACACAGCTGCTTCGTCCTTCTAGGACTCGTCAGTGATGCTGCATCATACAACTGTTTCGTCCTTCTATGCCTCGTCAGTGATACTATCATACAGCTGCTTCGTCCTTCTAGGACTCGTCAGTGATACTATATCATACAACTGTTTCGTCCTTCTAGGACTCGTCAGTGATGCTATATGATACAGCTGTTTCGTCCTTCTAGGACTCGTCAGTGATGTTATATCATACAGCTGTTTCGTCCTTCTAGGACTCGTCAGTGATGCTATATCATACAGCTGTTTCGTCCTTCTAGGACTCGTCAGTGATGTTATATCATACAGCTGTTTCGTCCTTCTAGGACTCATCAGTGATACTATATCATACAGCTGTTTCGTCCTTCTAGGACTCGTCAGTGATGCTATATCATAAAGCTGTTTCGTCCTTCTAGGACTCGTCAGTGATGCTATATCATACAGCTGTTTCGTCCTTCTAGGACTCGTCAGTGATGCTATATCATACAGCTGTTTCGTCCTTCTAGGACTCGTCAGTGAAAACCTAGGAGGAGACTGAGGAAAATCCAAATAATATATAAATATTTATCGTTGTAGTTACTAGTGTCTACAGTATAGAACATATTTTTACTACATACCATTGTCATCGACATAATATCTATTGCCGACAGCAGGTGTAGATCCGTTTGTAATCCCTAGAGTTATAGAATGACCCTCACATATTAAAGAATCTCTGTTGTAAAAGAAACTGACACAGGATTCGTCATTTTTGCACTGTTCAGCACAACGGAATGGCGTGATTACATTATCATGTGTCCATAGTTTACGTGTTGGATGTGTCATATTCTGTAAATTCACCCTTTGTGCACTTTTAAACATTCTTAAATCTCCATCAGCAGTAATTGTATCCCATAGGCCGATAAGTAATAATGTCATACTTCCAAAATTCACTAGCCGACATGTTTTGTTGTTCTTAAGTAAATCTGTGAGGGTTGTCATGGCAATTTTCTGTTTCGGTAACTAAGTCAAGTTCTATTTGAATTCAGGAACAATCGTCCGCTGTTCGGTTTCAGAGAATGGAAACACTGTATAGGCAAACTGGTTTGGACACGGTACGCAGTTTCAGAGACGCGTTGTATGGTCCAGTGTATAATTATTTGTGATAATATGCGATATTATTGTCAATATTTGTCCAGTTTTAGAAGCGAAGCCACACTCAGGGGCTTGGAGCTTCTAGAAGTGATTATGTGCCCCTAACATGCTGAAATGAGTGAACAGTGCTACGTCAATAATAATATACCCGGCAAGCACGGATGCCACGCAGATCGATACTGCTTTATCGGTGCTAGCTACGATCTGGTTGTGGGATTTCCTTAATATCATGAGACGATACTGTTTAAGGTTTGGTAAGATAGACTTAATCATATTTGATTCGATTTGATATATTACCATATTAAGGTAGTAAAGGACATTCAGCTCACGAATTGTAGGCGACATTGAATTCTTCATAAGTGATTGTATATGACTACTAATTGACATTGTCAATACAGTGCATTTTTTGACGAAATTAAGGCCCTTATGAACAGTGGTAGCCAATTCGAGGTAAGCACTGTTTTCATTCGCGACGAACAGAAAGAAAAACAAGATATATTTTTTCAAAATGTCTAAATTAGTGAAGATTTTGGAAACGTTTGGGAGATGTTATGTTTCCTTGTGAAATATGACGTTGGGCGTGCTTTTGCATGGTGGGCCTCGGAGAACAGAAGACGATTACCCTTCCGGAATACCATGTCTTATTGGTTTTGGCATTTTACCGAAGTCTTCATATTAACGTTTCTTTTGTTCATATTTCCCTCATTATTTCATTGAATTCGAGTTTGAGTTAAGATTCTGTTAACAGGTCGGTAACGTGTTGTTTTTAATACTCCTGTACTTACTGACACTCGGTAATACCAGTCTTTGAAGATGGAAGTGTCACAGCTTAATATTTTAATAGTGAGAAACAATTATAATATCATAACAATAGTCAATTAAGTTAGATCATTGTACCCACAAACGTCATTCTCGTTGCTAAATTTTAAAATTTACAAGCTAACTTTCGTAACTTTCTAAAAAAACATACCCAAGAGAAAGAAATCACCATATACCAAAACCTTTTGTTGTTTAATCTTTGTAATTTCTAAAGTGTCCGGATCAGTTTTTCGCCTTGGCGTTTTCACGTGAAAGACCAACATACACACAAGAGTCGTATTGGTATTTAAATCTACGAGTTTTTTCATTGTATGATAATCAGTTTTACTTCTTAAAGAAATATAAGTTTGTCTGTTATAAACTCTGATGTATATGTTTTGACACGGGATATTCATTCATAAAATGATAATAATAATTAAAAAAAAATAGTAAAAATGAAAAACAAGTAATTTTCCCAGCACTCACATTTCTACTCGCCCACAAAGCTACGTGTTCACATTATAAAAGATAAGCATATTGATGAAGCTTCTACAGGCCATGACAATAAATCCAGATATACCATATCAATATATCAAAGCAGTGTTATTTCTGTTTTCGCTGTTCAATCATTATATACTACGGATACACTTGTGATTAGGTTGGTATTCTTTCAGAAAATGCAAATCGTATTTAAATCCCGCGTTTGGAGAGCCCATTTAGAGGCCTCTTACTAGCACTTAAAATCTCTCTTTGAAATCAATTTTGTGCTTTCATCTGGGTGTAAATCGCTTCTAGCTTACAAAAAGCAAACACTACCATGATTACGTTAAAGGCTTTCAATGTATTTACAAACCACGTAACCATTATGCGTTCAGTACAGGTGTAACAAATTACTTAATCTTCTTAAGATATAATTGATTAAAACAGAATTAACTACTATCATGCTATCATGATTACATTTGTATTTATTTCATGGTAAATTGGATACAACGATTTCTATAGAATACGTAATTAATCAATTAATCGTATGATATAGAGTGTGAAACTTGCCTATATTAAGTATAATATTGAAATGTAATTAAAATACTTAAAAATTATGTTTTTTCGTGAGGCTCAAATTTCATATTTCAAAACAAACAAAGGAGAGAACAAAATGTCGGTTCTTGATTTTGTTGCTAAACTGTAGTCAGGAAATCCACTGATATTTAAATTATAGTCAGGAAATCCACTGATATTTAAATTATAGTCAGGAAATCCACTGATATTTAAATTGTAGTCAGGAAATCCACTGATATTAAAATCATAGTCAGGAAACCCACTGATATTTAAATTATAGTCAGGAAATCCACTGATATTAAAATTATAGTCAGGAAATCCACTGATATTTAAATTATAGTCAGGAAATCCACTGATATTTAAATTATAGTCAGGAAATCCACTGATATTTAAATTATAGTCAGGAAATCCACTGATATTTAAATTATAGTCAGGAAATCCACTGATATTGAAATTATAGTCAGGAAATCCACTGATATTTAAATTATAGTCAGGAAATCCACTGATATTAAAATTGTAGTCAGGAAATCCACTGATATTAAAATTGTAGTCAGGAAATCCACTGATATTAAAATTGTAGTCAGGAAATCCACTGATATTAAAATTGTAGTCAGGAAATCCACTGATATTTAAATTGTAGTCAGGAAATCCACTGATATTAAAATCATAGTCAGGAAATCCACTGATATTAAAATTGTAGTCAGGAAATCCACTGATATTAAAATCATAGTCAGGAAATCCACTGATATTAAAATTGTAGTCAGGAAATCCACTGATATTGAAATTGTAGTCAGGAAATCCACTGATATTTAAATTATAGTCAGGAAATCCACTGATATTAAAATTATAGTCAGGAAATCCACTGATATTAAAATGATAGTCAGGAAATCCACTGATATTTAAATTATAGTCAGGAAATCCACTGATATTTAAATTATAGTCAGGAAATCCACTGATATTAAAATTGTAGTCAGGAAATCCACTGATATTAAAATCATAGTCAGGAAATCCACTGATATTAAAATCATAGTCAGGAAATCCACTGATATTAAAATTGTAGTCAGGAAATCCACTGATATTGAAATTGTAGTCAGGAAATCCACTGATATTAAAATCATAGTCAGGAAATCCACTGATATTAAAATTGTAGTCAGGAAATCCACTGATATTAAAATCATAGTCAGGAAATCCACTGATATTAAAATTGTAGTCAGGAAATCCACTGATATTAAAATTGTAGTCAGGAAGGTTTGACAGCGTGCACTTTTTTCCTGCTTGAAGAGGTGTGCTTAAGGGAAGTATGGGCTTTCTATAAGGATATACTAAAATTCCAGTATTTACCTTTTCCTGATGGTGATTTAATGAGAACGTAGATTAAAAGCAAATAATCAAGATGTTTCCGCCCTACTTTTTCCGATACAGTCGTCAGAATGAGTGTAACAGGGGGAATTTCTGTTTCGCGGCAACCATTTCAAAATATATTTTTGTCTTTCATTTCAAGGCAAGTGTATGATACGTGATATTGAGAAGAAATTTTCATTTTATATAACTAGCTTTAAACTGAATATCAGCCAAAATATAAACTATGTTCCAAAATGAGTCCTTGCTTTGACCATCTTCTAGTATTACATGTTTTAAATGTTCGGAAAGAGACATTTTCCCGTGTATTTTTATGATTGAAAAAGAGGGCTCGGTGCTTTAATTGTTGCAGTTTTCGCCCTAATAGCCAATTTTTTTCTAAGATGAAGAAACAAACCGAAATCGTTAAAATCGGGAAAGTGGTCCGCCAAGTCGTACTTCACGAATTTCAAATTTGTGATTTGTGGTGATAATTCATGCACAATTTAGTTGAAATCTACCCAAAACTTCCATATTTCTACTCAAGAGATTTACCTTAGCAACCAGAAAACGTTAAAATTGATGACACTATTAACCATAAGTGAAATTTCTTACATAGAAATAACCCTATTTATGAAAATAAGTACAACTATAGATACCAGAGTGTAAAAGAACATTAAAGTGCAAGGTATCATGCTGAAATTTATTTTATATTTAATTATATCTTACTTCCGGTCAAACGTCAAAGGCATTCATCCTTAAGGCGTCAAAGTGTAACTGTACAAGTGTGATCCTGTTATACTGCAGTAACAGACAAACCAGCAATAATCACTGCTTATAGAGGTTCGTGTGAAGTTGATGAATCTATTTAATACGAAGTATGATCTTATCTGTTGAATTAACCATTAATTTGAAAGCTCAAAACATTGAAAAACATCAGAATTTATGTAAAGCGCACATGGCTGTCATTTTTAAGTATGGCATGTAATAGTATCGGTTTCACGTTGTCTCCTTGTCATTCAAATCATTATGTATGGTTTTTACACATGGCTTAAAAATGCAATCTTCCGTTTGGTTTTTGTATTTGATTTGGAAATGGCCAATTTTTATTTTAATATTTAACCCAGCTTTTAATTTTCATTGGTTTTCTACTTGCTACCAGAAAAACCTTTCATTGTAAGCTCGATGGTCTGAGTTGTCAAATCATGTAACATTGTACTGTGCATGATAAAAAAAACTTGTTTATCTAGCTTTGTCTTGTAAGTATGGCATGACAGGTGAGCAAACAGAAACACTGTTATGCATATATATATTAGTAAAGTATTTGACAACATCATGGCTATAGAAAAAAACATCATTGCAATGGATATGCTTTTAAACAATTGTGATATTTAACAATAAAAGTGTTTGTAAAAAAACCATATTTCTACATTTATCCTTTTGATAAAATCAACAAGGAGACACAGGTTACTTCCTGGATATACAACAAAGTAAACATTTACCTTAACTTCAACCAAATGTTATCAAATACTGGCGGAACAGCGAAAATAGGGTCATTATGTTATCCCGGATGTGGAAACTCGCCCAGTCTG